ACGTTGACTATACACATATGTGCGATATAGGAGTATAAGATCATAGGAGTATATATACATATATAATATCGAGTGTCTATATGGCGGTTACCAAATGAAAAATTGAACGTCTGAGGTCATAAGTTGAAAGAGAAAACAATTATGCAGCGTGCACGGACTCTCACTAGAATACAATAAATTTCGGTGATTTCTAATGGTTTATAATAGTTTTTGCTAATTTGCCTTAATTGCTTCCGTATTCAGTCATCATTTATGTCCTGAACGAGTAATAATGATCTCTATTGATTTCTATTAATATTCAAAGCAACTTTTTTCCATTAGCCATCTGCTAAAATTCAAAAATATAAATGGCGTGATCAACACGCTCATCAATTCGGTCCCTCAGGAAGACAAATTTTTAGGCATGGGCAAAGTTTAAGCGTCAGCCATGGAAAACAGAGATTGAAACCTGATCTTTCAAAGTACATATGTAAATTTTCTAAAAATTATTCACATTTTCATAAACTTCTTGCGTATACGTTCAGCTCTACTCGTAGATTTTTGAAATTTTTAAGTTTTGGAGAGTTTTTAATTTTTGTATGTATTACCATTGAAGCTATCATTCACTAACTGCTTGTGATTGACAGAGAAACGAATCATAGTGTCTATATTAATAAACGACAAATCCAACAAGTTTCCATATATGTCTGAAGAAATCTTAAGAGATGTCTCTAAAATATTTGATCTTACTGCCATTCAGATGCTTCGCATGATGATAACTCTTTCACTCTAGTAGGTTTGCTCAATGCGCTGTAGGACGGAAAAGAACTTCAAAGTAAATCAAAAAACCAACTTCTATGGCAATTCACTTGTTATTATGCACTCAAACCGTGATTACATTCTAGAATCGGTCAGTATGTCCGGCTGGTCGACCGTATAAACAATAACTTTTCAAAGAAGAGTCCGATCGCAATGAAATTTTCTACACAGTTTTGTCTCAACAATATCTCGATCGAGTTGGAAGATGAGAATGATTGGTCAAGCCATTACTGAGTTATTACCAAAATAGTCATTACTTCCTATGCTTTCCTATGCGAAGATCGATTTATTCTCGCTTTTGTAAAAACTTTTCCTACCATAGTCCAATAAAACCCCAACTATTATATACCATTCCATAAAGAGTTTCACGATCTGCAAAATGGTGCATAACAGATAAAGAAATAAGAAAGCTAAGTCACCTGTTGTAGAGATAATTAAACAGTTGTTTCTGTTTCTGTCAACGCTTTCATTGGCCTATAGTTTTTTGGAGTGAAAATTTTGAATCTGTACTCTAGTTACCTTGAAATTCTCTTGACTGAACAATAGTCAATAAAAATCAAGTGTTTATAGGAAGGTTTGCGAGGATAATTTTTATGTCCACACATTCTGGAATGATTTCTGTGTCTCATTCACTATTTGACGTATACATAAATCTCGGATTTAAATTCGAGGTGACTGTGTTTACCAACCTCTATCAACACTTTTGGTACATCTATTAAAACCTGTAAGATGATAGCTTAAAGTTGAATTTAATTATTAGAGATTTATTCAAATTATCATCACTGGAGTGTGAATGTCTAACAGTGTCTTGTTGAGGTGCTAAGAAACACACACTATCTCTTCCGCTAAGACTGTCAAAAGTGTATACATACTAAAAAACTGATTGTATATCCAACGATCATGCTTTATATTAAGTTGTGTTAGATCTTAGTACAGTGCTGGACAGAAGTAACCGCCGCCTCCGATATCAATTATTTTAGGAGCTGTCACGTTGAGAATTACAGTTTATATGATATCCGATCAATGTAGATCAGCAGCGAAACCCGTTACTCGAAAGAATGAGTCACAAGAAGATTATTGCTCAAATCATCCACGATCATTCTAGACTCTAAAACTTGGCAATAGCAAAGTCTTTGGAACTCAGACTTTCGTCGTTTTGAAGCCCTATACGTTGAGTATCTCTGATAAAAATTTTATCAACATTTATCAAATCTTCATAAAACTAGGCTTATTTTACTAAATGGACGCGTAGTCAAAAAATAATCATGAAAATCCTAAGGGAACGCAGAAAACGAGAGCTGAACTTTCGCAGTCATTGTTTTTTCACCAACAAACACCACTTTAATTACGCGTGACCATTCAATACTTTTGACGTATATACATGCACAATCACGCTAATTCTCACTATGATATTTATACCAATTCATCATCGCCATGAAAACACTCAAAAGATTGCTTGCAGACACGATCCAGATGAGTAAATAACCTTCAAGTCATATAAATAAGCAAAAAAACTTCTCTTCGCGATTTTTTCTCAAGAGCATAAATCAATAACAGAAAACGGTTTCTATAGTGGAAAAAATGATTGCGAAAGTTCATCTCTCGTTTTCTGCGTCACCTTAGGATTTTCATGATTATTCTTGAACAGAATTGAGTCTCTGTAAATACTATCTATATGCTCCAAATATAAGATCATTTGCTTGAGTATTTGAATATCTAGAGCTGACAACATCTTTACCCTTAGATAAGTTCTATTTCTATCCAATAAGTGATGTAAGACTAAAAATTTCGGAGAATGCTGCATATCTACGAAATATCCTATGCAAAAAATTTGGGATCTATATGACGATCTCAAGAAGAATTTTGAGGAACACATTGTTTACTGACGGTTTTTGCTGCCAAGTTTCTCTTTAGTAAAATAAGTCTAGTCTCACAAAGACTTGAGAGATTTTGGTAAAATTGTTATCAGAGATAGCCAATATACAGGGCTTTAGAATAACGAAAGCACGAATTCAAAGAACTTTGTTATTGCCAAGTTTTAAATTCTAGAATGATCATGAACCGTTTGGCTAATAACACTCTTGTGACTCATTCTTTTGGTTTCCAGGTTCCACTGCTGATCTACATTTATTGAGTTATCATATAAACTGTAATTCTCAACGTGACAGCTCGTAAAACAATTGAGATAGGAGGGGACTGTTACTTCTGTCCAGTACTATAATTCAAGAAATCTCAAGAATTTTTTGTTAATATAATTTCTGTGCGGCCTATAATTACGCCTAAAAATCAAGTTTTTAATAAGCTTTAACATCCTGTAATATCATTTATAATTGAAGTTGCTGGGATGGAGCGTAGTCATTTTAACATCTCGTATATCTCGCACTTACTAGAGACTCCAACGATAAAGTCCATTGAAATGAATTTGTCCTCGTACATCAGGCGGATGATGAAGTCCGTGAGCATGGGCTAAAGTATTGTGCTTGAATGGAAACATACAATTTTTAACTGCTCCTTGGTACCATATCGTATGGTAGGTTGCTGCGAAGAAACCAATTGTTACGTTTGCATTTTTATGACGTCCTATGTAGATAAACTGCAGGGGAAGTTCTGCGGTCCACTTGTCCATACTATGCTGAATAGTTCCTATGATTTCTTCTTCTGTAAAACCAACAGGAAGACTTGTCAAGGTCCAATGTACAACTGCTAGACTGAAAATGATCGAACAAGTTTAAAGCAGTAAATGGAGGTGTAAGTCGATCATCTAAGTAACCGAAGTTGCTGTAGACTGCAAACTTTTTGAACTATACTAACTATCATCAATTTTTGTAAAAATAATTGTTGCAGATATCATTTACTTTCACATCCTCACTCTTCCTTCGGTCAATTTTTACGCATATCTTTATCCAACGTCTTATTCAGCTCTGTGCTGTCATTCTCTCTCTTTTCATGTCGTATACAATACTAGGAAGTAAGAAAACTGAAGAAAATCATCGAGAAACTTCAATCGTCGTATACAAAATCAGAAAGGATTAAACACCTTAGACGTTACGGCAGATTATCGTATCGACTTACACCTCTATCAAAAACTCAGTAACTCTCATAAAACTCACTCATTAGTTAGACTTTGTGGCGGAGTGTCGCTATTGGGAGTACCATTCGAATGGGTGTAATCATATATATTGTCGCAATTAACTGAAGATTCATTCATTGTTTCTTTGGAGCTGTCAATGATAAATATTGGTCGATTATTTTTTAGTGTTATCAGTGGATACTGTCTTCCATAAATGCCGTTAACACAAATACCATTATTCCCTTCGGATAAGAAGAAATCTATATTTATGTCTGCATCTTTTTCTAACATCTGCGTATCGTCTTCTAATCCAGTCACCATCCACTCAGATCCATATTGCAAGATAAATTTTGAGGACCCCATATTGGCTTTGAAAAAGACAAAAATCATGAAACCAGTAAACCTCAATAGACATTTTAATTTCATTCTTTTACAAACGAAAGTAAACGGTACTATGAAAGATATTTAAGATAAGAGTTTCAGTGTACAAGAGTGAGGCTGTATTGTTGATATTCGTTATCTATCATATAATTTCTTTAACTACACCAATATCAAGAAACAGAGAATCTGATTATTTCACTACTTTATGCAATCTGAGAAAGAGTTATAAAATATCATGATAAAAAAAAGTTTAATATTTCCTTCAAGGTCAATTCGATGAGTAAATTCAACGAAATGATATTTTAGAAGGGCTTTACTCAATTGTACTCATTATTCTTAAACAAATCTACTTAACCCTTTGAGGACCGATGGGTTATTTTGAACCCATCTACTTTTCAGTAAAGAAAAAAGTGTTTAATTCACATTAAACTATTAAATATGTGAGGTTATTAAGGTCATAAAAACCTGCATTTGTCATCTCATACATTTTTCCTTTCTTTCCTTCTGTCATATAAATTCTTTTCAAATATCCGTTGTTCTTGCTGCTAAGATATAGTGATGTCATAATTTATCCCTCCTTCTCTAATCTTTTTTTTCGAGTATATTTTCATTCTCTATTGAATATATATATATATATTCCCGTTTTCACTGGCGAATTTACATTGTTCTTGAGTTTGTAAAGCATATCAATTCTCTTTCGAACTTGTACGCTCTATTTCTTTATACTGTTTGTTCAATTAAAACTAAAGAAATGGAATTTTATGAAAATGATGAAGTTGACGAGGAGTCCTGTGATTCATATGCCAGTGATGATACCAGCGAGAGTGGTTTTGATTTCGATTATGATGAACTAGTCGATGATTTAGATGAGCTTGAACTTTCTGATGAAGATTTGGATGTATATACAGAGGAGCTGAATTCAACCAATGAAAGCCATATCACGGATGACGGCTTTACCTCAATCTCTCTCAAAGAGCGAACTCCAGTTTCAGTCTTTAGGACCTTCTTTAGTGAAGAAGTTTTAAGCCTGATCACTGATCAAACAAACATTTATGGAAAAGGAAAACAACGAAATAACAATCAGAAGAAAATGAGTAACTGAAAGGATGTGAGCAACAAAGAGATTGAACCGTTTCTCGGATTGATTATTCTAATGGGTATCAATAACTTGCCAGATATGAAACTGTATTGGAGTAAAGATATGATATTCCATAAAGCCATCGACAGATTAGAAGACTCCCCTATATTAGAAGACCCCCCTGACAAAATCGATTTTTTTACAAATAATTTCTGGAGTTCATTAACTTTTTTAGTATTTAAGCCCATAATTGTATCTTAGATCAGTATGAACAATATTTTGCTTCATGCATGAAAATGATGCATCAGTTCGAAGTGAAAAAAGTCTTGCGAAACGATGAATAGGAAACAACTATTTAGTAAAGAATGTATTTCTTTATAGAACACATATCATGGAATCTTTTTAGGGGTCTTTTGCAGCATATTCCGAAGGAATTTTTACGGTTCTCTATGCAAAAAAACTTCTCATGACCGTGGGTTATGATGGACTCAGTGAAGAATCGTGGATGTAACGCATGAAGAGATCTTTGTAAAATAGTACCATATTAGGTGAAACTTCATTTGCACAATAATTAAAAAGCCTCATTATCTGGGATTTCTAGAAATTCTGAAACATATTCATCACGAAGGATTCTTTCATAATTGAGAAACACGTGAACTCATCGATATACGCTCAAGACAGAAACGAATAAGAAAATCTCAATTCGGCAACGTCTTCGATCGGATTCAGTTCGCCTCAGACAAATTCAAACGAATAAGATCATTCGACAATTCGATTTGGTTTTCGTCTCTAATATGCATCGGTTTTTTGTAACTACTTCTCATGAGACTCAGAACGCATTTCTATTCTCAATAAAACCTGAAGTCAATTTTTAAGAAAAGACCAAGAACAAAACACAAAATCTGTATCCAACTACTCTTTCTTTATTAATTGCTTATTCTTAATACAAATGTATTCATTGACGTTGGCTTGAGACTTATAAATATGCTATTAGTAGATTTTGATGTGAACAGAGTCCATTAATACTAGTCAAAAATAAACAAGAACAATAAATTTAATGGAGTTTGATAAAACAAGTTAATTCTTTTTCTGAGTTATTTAGTTATTGAGAATTTAAAATTTGTTCAATGGCAGATCTTATTTTTTAGAAAAAAAAACTGTTAGTGAACATTTTACCAAGGTGTTCGGGTACGTTTCCTTTAATATTCTAGGAATATTTATTACCAATGATAGACTCTCTTTTTTTCACAGGATAAAATTTGTTACTATCTCATCATACACATGTCGAATAAGTAAAATACTGTTTTTCTAACGATTATGTAGAACAAAATTGAATTGAAACAAAAATTTGTTGGAAAGGCTGGTGAAAAATACAACTTTTTAGGGGACATAATAGAAGACCCCGGGTCTTCTAATGTGTCGGTGGCTTTAATACATTTATTTCTGCTATCATGTCAAGAAATCGTTTTCTTCAAATTTTTTATAATATACATTTGGCTGATAGCTCATTGCAACCAAAACGAGAATCCAAAGAGTACAGTAAAATTTTCAAAGTTAAGAATTTTACTGAAATTTTACGGAGAAATTTCCAAAAAAATTATAACCAAATAGAAACAGATCAATCTATACCCCTCCGATACAAATCAATCTGCTAGTCTCAACTCTTGCTTTTCAGCAATCGATGAAGTCGTAATTAATTGTTCAAATTGCAAATGATATGCTTAATCAAATTATAAAAGAAATGCAGAGTTTAATTTCGCCGACGCGTTTCGTGTTATTTATTTGAATATTAAAACACTCATCAGGGCTCTGCATTTTGAGGAAAACAATAAAATAGTACAGAAAATTTAAAAACTCTATAATTTTACAAATGCTTCACATTAACAACATACAAAAAATCTAAAATTGAATAAATAGTACAATACATAACATTACAATTGACATATACGCTCTGACACACTATTACATTTAAACATTTTTGAAATAGTACAGCTAACATCATAATGTAAGTGACCTCAACAACCTGACATATTTTTAAATTAAAGTGCTTCAGCTTGTGTCCAAGGCGTCTGTGCCAATCAGCATATTATCTTATATGATATCTTCTCTTTCTCAGTGTGCTCTTATAAAATCAATGACATGTTGCGTTCTTAATCGCGTTACTCTTACGTTTATCTCTTTATAATGGAACTTTGTTCCTGTCTGTCGTAATGCGCTTCTCATTCAATAATATATATCTGTTCTCTCCTTGTCATCATTACTTGTTCATTCGTACATTGTTGTATCTTTGGCCTCATTATCTGTCTTCGCATCATTTCCTATTCTACTCGTACATACAAACGTGTCATTCATATGTAAACGATATGATGGTATGATGTGCCAAGAAGCACGTCATCTTTGCTAATTATGATAATGGTTATTACGTCATACGACACTAACATATCTTCTCAATGCCACTGGATCATCAAAGGTGACATAAGAAGATGAATGTACTTTCTACAACAACCGTTAATTGATCGTATGATGCGTAATATTCTGTTATATCTTTCCTCTTTCCTTTCTCCTTTTTGTATTGTAATATTTATTCTCTATCCTCTCTTCCATCCTTCTCCTATATAAGCTCATGTTGTGTATTAGATTGTTACATTTGGATGTAGGTACATTTTTTGGATGTAGAGCACAGTCGAATAAACATCATGCCCATCACTATGGGATCAAAGACATAAATGTGCCTCTCCATTTGTCATAACGATAGTGGAATGCACTAGTAGCTCATTAACATCAATGCCCAACCAGTGGTAGAGCTGCATCACCATTTTCGTTACATTTGGCGACTCTGGCAGGATGAATGATTTTGGAGTGGTGTTGGAACATTCGATTGATGATTCGTTACCACTTCTGATTCTGAACGAGGAACGGTAAGAAGTAATGGTGCAGGTGATGAGTACGTGG